TACTCCCCCCATCCGCCCGCCCCCTTCCAGCCATTTCGCCCAATACGGGAATTCCTAAAACATCAAATTGGGATGTCTAATTTTCTCAATCCTAAGGATCTTCGAGTTGATTCGGCTATTTATGCCGAATATACCAATCTTCCAGCAGCTATTCAAATAGCATTCAAAGTCATACAGTAAAAGATGAGCTACGAAGGTTTGAAACCTCAGGATTACGGTATTCGGCGGTCCGGAGTAGATGAGTAGATTGGTGGGCCATTACTTGTGACAATCAACGGAGGCCATAGACAAGAAGCCCAATTAGGACCTAAGGACACACTATTTGCGATTGTCGAGTCATAAAATGTCTAGGGATGATTTAGGGTGATCTAGGAAATGATCGTGACGATGGCTCCTGTCAATGACATGCCAGGGACACGTGGGGGTGACACAATTATGAAAATGAGCTCTACCCCTGTATAAACACATGGTGGAACGCATGACCTGTACGGAATGAGTGATATGCAAAAATCGTGACACATCGTTTAGCAATGAGACCGCTGGACTCGCATGAGTCATATCAGCTCCGGGATCAGCCAACCAGCCACATGTGGGCGATTCCTCGCTTCCCCCACTCGTCGAACCCTTCTCCACATCTTGTTAGCTTCACCGCTTACATTTGTTTTCTTAACTTTCCCTATCACACACGCATGGTCACGGATCCCGGGTCGATATCCGCCTAGGCCAACCAAGCCTTGCGTTCCTCTAGGGTCGGTTAAATGGTACCAGACTCGTCTGGTAGGATAAAAACACTGGCCTGTACATCGGCTGGCCACTGCAGGTCATTGTATAGGCCACATACGCATTCAATACGCCGCTACTATTCTGAATTGAAGCCGAATGCATGGGCGCATCCCTCAGACGGGATTGATCACCGCCCAAAACAATTCTTCACCTTTTCCTACAGTTTTCTTTCTAGCAAAAAGGCGAAGGTCGCACTTTTCCAATGACATTGCGAAGGGTCAAAAATATCAATTGGGATACATTCATTGCCTTTCATCGAAATGGGAATGCCTATGTTTTGTTTCATTTAAATTAATTATCACATGACGTTATGGATGCGTGTCACAACATACCACGCTCTAATGCCAATATAAGACGCGCCAATCGGCAGAATTCAAAAATTACCAGCGGTGGTTCGTAGTTTATCTTATTTCTCATCTGTACATTTTCGCCCTTTTCCTAGCGGAATCATTCCCAAGCATTACCAGATTCATAAGCGAACGATGATTCCCCATTCAAGATTCCTTCTTCCCTATTTGCCCCTTATTTACTGGTTGCACAATTTTTTTTACTACAGTCGCTTATGGAACATTGCATGGAATATTGCAAAGTGCAGTAATTTTAATATGTACAAAAGCTTTCTCACCATCGCTGCTTGCAAGCGAGATGAGCGTTGGAACCGATTCACAAGAAAAAAAAGAATGATTATTCAAACTGACTCACAATGACTTTACACAGTTTGCAATGTTGACCAACGAAGTTGCTTTACCATCCTTCTTCTACTTCTTGTTCCTTACATCCTATTGCTCCTGCAATAATGTTCGATTCAATGTAAACCCGTAGATTTCATTGCTTATTCGTTAAATCGCTCGAAACGGACGCTGAAAAGCGAACAATTACGCCTAAGCCATGCAAAGTTTCCATTGTCAAACATAAAAAAGACGACAATTGGTACTATTTCATACATTCAAAAAATCCTGCTATTGGGAAGACAACGACCCCTCGAAAATTCTACAGAAATGAATTTTGAATTTGCTCACATCTGAATCTATAAAGTTTTACTTGCTTTCGGGTATCAGAGGTATGTGGTCTTCTTTAAGGGTCGTTCATGCTAGTGTAGAATTGCGTCATTTCCTCTCATAAAATTCGGTTTCCATCTTCTTCACTGATTAATTCAGATGAGTACAAGACGTAAATTACTACATGGTGGCGAGGGTCTTGGTTTAAAATCGGCAGTTCCACCCGAAAAGCCGCCAAGAGGTTTTCCTCGAAATGGACCAGTTCGCATTGAACCACTAGGAAGTGTGGCTAATCAAGAAAAAACTACTCAGCTACCAAAATCGCCTGGTAAGTTCTACTAAAATGTTAAGTGAAGCAATGCGTTTTTCGGAAGTTTGGGTCTTTTTGCAGCTTTGTCGCTTTGTCGGTTTTCTACGACGGAAAAGTACACAAATATGAAGAAATATTTTCGGGAGATGGTTCAAAAAAGGTGAATTATAAGTATTGTAATTCGATTTTTGATCTTCGTTTCACTCTGTTTTACTATTGAACATAGCTGAACCGACTTTTTAGGGATGGCGGCGAGTTTTCTGGATATGATGCTGTAAACATCTTGGATGATTATCTCGAAATGAATCGTGAACAATTTTCCGCCAACATTGTCCGAAGGCAGAATTCTGTCAAGGTACTACATTGCATTGACCTACTAATCAACTAAATATACCTGTCGCTCTGAAATTCCTAATCTTTAGAATGATTTCTATTTAGGTGCTTGATATGTGGCTACGGGAAAATGTGATTCGCCCTGTTCAGACGTCCCATAGAGACTCTCCACCTCCTTTTTGTGATAGTAAAAAAAGCCTGTACACCATGAATCCAGATTCCGATCACAAGTATGTGCCCATCTTGACTTACTTACATTACAGTTCTTGAATCCGTGCTGATTTCAACTTTATCCTTATTCGACTTTTTGGACTTTACTAGAAATCTCTATGTAAGCTAGTGATACTAGTGATACAAGTGAATGAGGCCGAGTAAGGAGGTAAACCAATCCTGAGGTGAGATTCGGCAGCTTCTTCAGAGAAGTCTCAAGTCTAGTAGTTTAGCTAGAGTCCCATGAGCTGATTCTGAAGGGGCATACAAGAATATCAAAATGATGATTAATTGCGATACTATTTAACGAGGCCATAATGCGCCCATTTTCAAAGTGGTAGAACTCGCTAAAGACTTTTAGAGATTACAAAGCGAAATCCCATCTACAACTGTAGAGCATACTGACCAGAACTAGCTCTATTTTGTGATATTTTTCATTTGCTTGCAGATTATATATTTGCTCAACGCCGACCACTTACAACATGTCAGTAGGAAGAAGACCATCGCGAACGAGCTCGTTCAAGCGTTTCTTCTCCCCGAGCCGAAGTGAGTCATACTTCAGAATACATCAAGCTCTTACTCTTCATCGTTGTATTTAGCAAGACATGCTGAAAACATGATAGTTCGATCTCCTTCGGCGGCTTCTGAACCGACAACTACTACAAGGCAACTGCCCTATAAACATACTACTCCAAAATCAAGTACATTTACTGCAAGAACTCGCCCTAGTCCTACGAACACGAACAGTCGCTCGCTTGAAGGTAAAACTGAAATCTCTTCTTTTTTGTGCAGTGGTTTCCGATTTCTACTAATTTAAAAAACTCAAAATGCTCTTGTGCAGACGCCCACTTTCAGAAGAGGCTATGCTACATGACGCTGCGTTGTTTCGCTTGCTCACGATTGTTGAAATACCGATGCTCGATGACCTTACTTCTGCGCCTGGACAGACAACGGTACATAAGCCGCCTGTTTTATGATAGATACTGCTTTCTGGAGTTTCTTTTTTTTGCAGAAAAGTGCTTCAATACTTTCCACGATACTTTCGAAAATCGGTCTAGGAGGTACTACACCCGAGACGATTGCATCAAAAGAGGAAGAAATGGATAACCTCCTAGAAAATACACCTTCTATCCGGTAGGTTCTTTGTCGAAAAGCGTAGTTTATCCGTAAAAGTTCTGATTCAATTCAATGAGTACATTTTATTAAGGCCCCTCGTGCCGTGGTTTCAACTTGCACGAATTTGTGCTCCTGGCCTTTACTTCAAGTCTAGTGGACAGAAACCGAAGCGAGAGGAAATTCACTACTGGGCTAAAGCATCTTTGCAGGCGGTAAGTGCTTTTTTCGAAGAGTAGCCGCTAAGAACTCATAGTGGTGCTGAGAACTTCTCAGAGGCGAGGTAAGCTTCCTCAACTGTTTAATGCCTGTTCTGCAAATTTGGTCTTCGTTATACTTTACTATCTATCTTGCGAGACAGTGATCGTAATCATCGTCAAAATGTGTTACTTGAGAGATAAGTGGAAAATACTGAAAGAAAACGGAAAAGTTGTAATAAAGCGGTGTGTTTTTCTAGGTCCAAAACTAAATTAGCATACATTGCAAAATGCAGGAGTTTTACGAATCGAGAAAGGTAAAAAGTCGTGAAATGAGTAATGTAGGTATGAAAAGGAAAAGTTCATCCTGGTGCTTCAAAACGAGAATTGGTATGTTTGGTCATTTTCACTACAAATCCCAAGAAAACTGTTTTTAAACAGCTCTTCTTTATATGGTCGGTATTGGGTTATGTTGCGAAATTGTTACCTCTCAGGCCGTTGAGGCGATGATGGGAAATGGCTCATCCTTCACATCTTCATTTTCTACTCGAACAGCCATAAATGGAAGAATTGTGATGAGAGAAGGAGAAATAAAAAGTTCTTGCTTCATACAATAAAATATTTGTTATCATAATGTGGGGCATAATATTTTGCTGTAGTTGTTCCCACGTAATACAGTATTCGCACTTTGGAGCTGAAATCACGATGATTCATTTAATTTCGATGGCATTATGAATCACAATTAATTAATCTAAACGAAGCTTGGTGCAATACAGTAGCAACGGGTATTTCTTGAGTGGAATGATTGCATTAATAATGACTGAATACTGCTAGAGTTGTTTAGCGTGGAAAATAGATCAAGGCATAGCGAAAACAACTAGTCCGGAGTAAATCAAACGTTCACTTTTGTGATGGTACCTATTTTGGACACAAATATTTTACTTCAAAGCATCCGCCTTGTCTGCGCATTATTAGAAAAAATGTACTATTAGTGACCGATACTTCCACTTTTGGTCAGTTTCGAGAAGGTGATCAAATAATGCATTTGAACACATCATTCTGGCGCATAGCTCATTTATTATGCACAAAATTTGGTGGTACCCGCTTTTTATGTAATCTAAAGAAGGTTCACAACATCTGATGAGAAGATAGCCAACAACATTTAACAAACTTTCGCATGTGTGTCAGTTTTCGTTCCCTTCGTGCACCTTCTAGGAACTACTTATTATTTAATCTGTTTATTCTATGTTCGGAGTGCATTAAATATCCTGGTCACCATTCTGCGGACCCTTCCACACTAGAAGGCAAACTCGCAAGGTTATCTAACTATCTAAGTTGCTTAATGGACATTCTCATATCGTACTCTGTTTAAAACTCAGACTGGATAAGGTCACTGTTATAGAGCTTCCTAGGGTCCAACTCGAATATGTTCGCCTGAAATCAAAAATGAAGGTAAAGGAAGGGATGTTGAACAAGGATTATTCCAGGTATCTAATCGGTATTCGTCGATTACGTGTCGCGGATCGTCTCCATTGATTCCCACTGAATTCTCTCCTATCATTGAAGCCATTATTGAGCAGCTACTTGGAAAGAAGAAAAAGAAAACAAGATTAGCTTTACAGTGAGTTTTTTCAACAAGCAAAGAATGTCTCAAGGTCAAAAAGAATAGCTGAGTTCCAGATATCTGTGCCTAATGATTCCTCAACGGCTTCGTAAACATCTTTGCAATGCAGTGCAGTTCCTCGAACGGACTATAGGAACTGATCAATACATGTCACTGCGAGATCCATTCTTTCTTGGCAAGAAAGTGAGCAAATCATTCGATTTATGCAAATTATTTTAACTAAGAATAGATATGGTTACAGGAAGATACAGAAAACTTCGAAATAGTTCTCGATGAGCTGAGACCATACATATTTACGCAAAAAATAGAGAGGCGAGACCAAAACAGATTGATTGAGGTATAACGATTGATAATGTAGCTCTGAAAAGTTCGTTACCCTTTCTATTTCAGGCACTGTTGGAGTTGAGGAAAGGGGACAGTTTGGGTAGGGAGCCAATCGAGATAGTAGAAGATATGAAGAGGATGAGGTACGCATGTATTCATACCCCTTTTTCAGTAGAACACGTTCTTGTAGAATACTTGTTGCTATAAAGGTGTAGCGCATTCATTAGAACTTTGCATTTGAAACATCGTTATCGAAATAGCGATTAAACCTAACATTCGATGAACTGCTGATAGATGAGCCTTAATTGGTGAAGTGAGAGAGTTAAACTAGTTTGAACAAAGAGATTCAATAAAGTGCGATATAATGTGATACAATATGATACAATATGATATGATGCAATATCGATCTCTCGGGAAGCGATCAGAGGAAAAACTGACGAAAGTGGAGGGGGTGTTGCGGTGTGGTGACGTCACGGTGGTCTTTAGATGTGCATTGGTCAATGGCTCGGCCACGGCACCCGATGACGAAGAATTTCCTGGCACTTGTCCAAGTCCTAATCAATTGTGTAGACATTAAATGTTGCGCAGAAAACTGTCTTACTGTTTCCTATTGAGTTTGTGCCATGCAAACGTCCAGAATGGGCGAGAGAGTTGGCAGAGATGGAGCACGGTGGTAGTAAGGAGCTCCCTTATATGCGCGCTTTTACTTTTCCATGAAGGCGCTACGAACGATGGAATAATAAAAAAATACAAAAAAAAANNNAAAAAAAAACATCTCAGTGAAACATATCGCTAGTAGTTTTGCATGTTTTCAGTGAGAATGCTGACAACGCGGTGGTTCCTGTACGTTTTTGCGAAGCCGAATCATCCACGAACAAATTTGATGCCGATGCTGAAGTAGCTCATGCTCTGATGGCCATTATTGACAGTACCGGTTTATCCCTGGCTGAAAAACAGAAGAAATGCGAATTGTTCAGAGAGCATCACCCATCAATATACAAAAAATATTTTTCACACCTTACTTGGTGATTCTCAGGTCTGTTCCCAATTTCCACGCGTCTTTATATTGTAATTTGATGTTTATTCATCGCCAGATCATGATTCTCTATGGCCAATTCCTTTTCTTACATGCACATAGTTGCCCCTCAACTACGTAAAGTCGTTCTGAGAGCCAAATTCGGGCAAAAGCATCTTCAAAATACCACAAGAGTCACCGGTCGTTTTATTCGAATCCCTAGAAACTTCTGGTTCTCAATTACTGATTCTCTTCTAATTACTATAATAGAAGATCAGTTTTCATTCGGGTTCCAATCCAGTAAGGGTTCTGTGGAGTTACGGTTCAAATATGGAAAAGGAATGACTTTGTTGGAGATGAATCTGATCGGAAACTCGGGGAAGCATCCGAAACCTTCTTCTCAACTTTTTTTCCCTTTGTTCGATACATTGTCCAACGGCCTCTTGAGAGTTCTCTGGGATCAGATTGGGCGAGCTCTCGACAATACGACATTACCTAATTGAAGGCTGACTACTCATCTCCTGTTTAGTTATTGTAGAGAATGTTTTTGAGGTTTCACGCTATATTGTAAACTACATTTCATATCGGCTCGAACTTTCTAACCAACTAGGCACTAATTATCTTGCCATAAGCAGCTGACCCTCCCTAAAAAAGCAGATTTGATGTACTCCGGGTTTGATGTGGTACTTATACATACAGATTTGCATGCTCGTGTATTCTTTCTACTCAGTTCTTTTTTTTCGAGTAATTTATAGGTTTGATCTCTTTTCTCATGAAAATCGCATACTGTGTTTTGATCGAACAAAACATATTCTCGGATTTTTATTATATCTAGATATTTATAAATGATTTAACAATTCAGAATTGTTGAAATCATTTTAACAATTACTTATTATTTGCCGTGCTTGTTATGGTATCTTTGAATGAGTATTGATGTCATTGTAATAAAATATCTTTCAAAACATAGAAGGTTTGGATAAATAATGACTTTCGAGCATATTTAGATGTCAAGGTGTGCTGGAGCTAGAGAGGCCATTATTGTAATGTGACTTACAACATGATTCCTAACTAGTTGTCTCGGCTATAGTATTCTCCGGCACTTCACCGACTCATGATCCCGTAATGCTCTTCTAGGCGCATCCGAATAGCGCGTACAAGTGTCGGCTGGCGACGGAAGGGTTTCCTTACTTGGTGGGGCATACTGCCGCTTTAGAGTCAGTCTTATGATGGTGGAATAACTGAAGTGATGAATGGAAGCCGAATAAGTAAGGCGAGTAGGTTAGAGACGATGCATTCAAGTAACCCTACAATTATAAGTGGAGGCTGGCTGTATGGCGTGTCCCAAGTGGATTGGTTGGAACTGTACACCTCACATTTATTGTTTCGATTTAACCGAAGTCTCCAGCAAGGGATAGTATCATATAGTTTTATAACAACTGATCAGATGGAAACAGCTTCCGTGATCCAGTGAAGAAGGCAGAATGCAGTGAAGTTGCTGAGACCTGGGCCTGAGGGATTCAACTGCCCGACTTCCACATTTGTTCTTTCGCTCTTGTTCCTCATAGCAGCGGATTACAGCTAAGAATCCTTCTGATAGCTGGAGGTTCTTTGTTTAGAACCAATTGATATCATGCGAATGACAGCAAAAAACTTGGGGAAACGATCGTCTTATAACGTGGCTTTCAAATGGATCAATAGTCCCATCTAGTTTAACTCCCACCCATAACATTTGAGTATTGTCGGTATACGCTGCTACTCGGTAATTCCCTCTGAAGTTATGCGCCACCACTAATTGCCCACTCACCATCCCTTAACCTCGGATTCCTGTCTTTGTGGTTCAGTCCATTTTCTAGTTATAGCCGCTATTCCTAGCGATTGTTTCAATCTTGGCCAATTCCTGGTACCAGTAAAGGTCCAATAAGCCTGTATTCCCGTAGTTGTATTCAAATATTCCATATTCTGATGCCCTGTTGAGCTCCCTCACAAATTCGTAAAAAAAGTCGAATGCATGGCTTATCCCGAGAAGGATCAGCCGACGATCAAGCCGGCTAGCGTTGTTTTTCTATGGGATTTTCTCGTAGAACGAGGATAAATTAACGCCCAGCCCGTCTCGTTTTGGAATGTTCCCGCCCGTAAAGTCCTCAATTTCAGATGTATGAGGAAGTCTGGAATGGGTTTTCGAGCTTAGGACGATTAGCAGAAATCAGCAGCCAGCGTTCTGTTTCTCAATCTTCCCAAACAAGTCTAGTGTCTTGATTAGCTCACTCTGATTAGATGGAAAGCCTGGTTAGCCCAACACCGAGATTTAGTTCCCGGACTTTTCTATTCGGCCTTTTCGTCCTCCCAGATCTATTCCCAGAACACTTCTAATAAAATTACTTAACTGGAGGCTCAAAGTTAACGGGAACTCCTATTTGTTCTGCCTTCCTCGAACCTTCTTTCGGGCTGATGGAGTCGTTTCTGCTGACTTAGATGTTGTTCTCTCGAGAAAATTATGCATGTTTACTGATTTCTTTCTAGCTCAAGGGAATCAAATCAATCAATAAAATTGGATATATCGTTAAGTGGTCTAAATTGGATAATATTTAAAAAATGCCGAGTAACTCATCCTTTCTGTAACCTTATCAGAGAGAGCGGCCTCTGATGCTTTTATGCAGACTTCCTTGCTTCCTAATTGTTTTTCTTAAGTCACAAAATTCTATCTGCAAGCGGAAATTNNAGGAGGCGGAGTTTGTGAAATTGTCGCGGCATACGAGATGTCCTGTTGCACTTTTTAGGATTGGGGTGCGTTTCTTGAAATTTGAAGCTGTTTAAATCCTTTTATCAAGTTCTTGAAATTCGAAGCTGTTTAAATCCTTTTATCAAGTAAACATGATCTAATTTCTGCAGAAATGGATTTAAAGACTTTCTATAAATGGTGTTTATAGTATGCAAACCTTCAGGTTTCTCCGAAATAGGTACTAAACCTTCGATTTATGACAGTTTTTCCACGAATGATGACGAACGGTTCACGCTACATTACCAACGTAAGGCTGCAAGGCCTGATGTACATAAAACATTGCGGAAACACGTCGTGATTTCTTTTTTTCATCCCATTTGTTATTATAAGGGATAATTGGAAATTGGTTCCAGTTTTTCTGTATATATGGCCGTAGGATGTAGAATATGAGCCTGTTAGACGGCGTTTCTTAGCGCTTATTCGCCCATCCTCAACAACCGTATTGCACTTGTGTCTGGTTTTAGGGCCCATACTTGCTAGGAAAAATGTAATACCTCGAAACTACATATCTCAGTAGGTATGAATTGTGCTGTTGTTTTCGTATTTCTTATTCTGTCAGCTATGCCATTTACCAAGCTTCAATCAGTCCAGCAGGGGCATTGAACACTGGGAGCTGCTGNTCTGGTTTTAGGGCCCATACTTGCTAGGAAAAATGTAATACCTCGAAAACTATCTCACCAGGTATGACTTGTGCTGTTGTTTTCGTGTTCCTCATTCTGTCAGCTATGCCATTTACCAAGCTTCAATCAGTCCAGCAGGGGCATTGAACACTGGGAGCTGCTGGAGCTACCATCTCCAAAGCCCACTTCGTACTATGCCATGATGATTCTCTCTAGAAATTGACTCTCGTATCGCCTGATTTTGTTGCAGATTTATTAAAAATGAGGGACCTTCTCATTACTTTTCAGTGATATCCGTAAGAATTTCAATCCTAATAAGGATAGAATACATCGAACTCTTCAGACGGCATGTGAACTTTTTTTTGCGATTGCTGAAGTCTTTCTGTGAATCAGTAGCTCATAACGATTTCAGAGGCACTCATTCTATTGCCTCATCCTTATTTTCTTAAGAATTACTTCGTTATTACTCTACTTTATAGCTATAGTGTTAGATTAATTGGTAAGGGGCAAAGCCAAAGATCCGACTTTGAATTGGAGAAGGCTAAGCAGAGCAATAGGTAATGGCATATCTGGGAGCTGGTCTATAAAATGTCTATCGAAAAAAACTAGAAGATTTTCGTTGTGTGCTTATTTATAAAAAAGTTAAGGGGCACGGAACGCCCCATTTAATCTTAAACTCCATGTTTATGTTCCACAAGTGGGGTACACTACCTTGGAAAGGTGGAGGAACCAGCCTTAATGGGTCTCATTCATGCTTGTGTTCATTAGCTACATGGACGTCGCCCGACAATTTCCCTTTCGACATTCGATCAGCTACATACAGAAAGGATCGAGAAAGAATTTGCACTATTTTTCAGCGGGCTTTCACCCCTTCGCGCTTATCGCTTTCCGCAGTTTCAAAACATTTGAAGGAATTTTGGGAAATTTCACCTTCTCGCTGAGTAACATGGTTCAAAGAAGCAGGGAAGCCTATCGAGTAATCCCCATAGATAGTGAAGTAGAGTTCAGCTGATCCAGACTGAACAACAACCCTTCCGATGGACCGTTTTTTCGGTAAAATTTTCGTGCACTTGAAATAGGTAGAGTCTGTACCTACAAAAGCCAACCAAAACCCTC